ACAACGAGTTGGTGCTTATTTCAAAGGTTTTTGTAACAAATTTCAAATTAACTACTCATACTCTGTGTTTATAGTTGAATTCAACATTGACTCAAACAGGCGTTAGTCAACTCTTAAAATAGTAGAGTCGGATGACACGGTGGCAATTCAAAAGAGGGAAAAGGTCATATTTCCACCCTTACTATTTGAACGGTTCCTTTTCCTACCCACACAACGAATTAGTGCCCATTTCAACAGTTTTTGGAACAAATTTCAAATTAACCATTTGAAATTTGTGATGACAAGATTATTTTAAGAGGATTTAGCATTAACTACAAAACAGTAGTTGGCTTTATATCCATAATTTAGATATAAAATAAATTTAGTCACCTATATAGTTATGAAAGTAATTTTGAAAAAAGAGTAGCTCATTCAAAAATGTAAAGCTACATGCCTACATAGATTTTCATCTAAAATATCAGTTGACAGTGAGTGAATTAATTCATATCTCGGTCCGATATGGAATAACAAAAAATAATAATTAGTCCGCTCTGTTTTTTAATGGTAAAGTTGAAAATTTCCTTTAAATATATACAGATCTGTTTTTGATCTGCTAGGTTTTTGAATTATCTTGAATAATTGACATTAGCCATGAACTATATAAGTTATATGAGATCTAATTACCAATTTACCAAGATCTAAATTATGCTTTAAATATATATCATTAAATCAGTGTCACAATATATTAAATCTGAATATAGAGTAGATCTTTGCGAATTATATATAAGACATTTTTTTTTTGATAAAGGATTAAGAGATGAATATCTAAAGACTTGATGGTGTTGATATTTTTATTGGTGTTTCATTCTAGTAGAATGTGTTTAATGTTTAGTGCTGCTAGATTTATCTTTTATCACCAAAATCTAAATAAAATCCTGAATATAAAGTTGTCAGAATTATACAAAACGATGCTGGAAAATCTGTGTTATTGATATAAGACGGCTACATATATATATATATATATATATATATATACTAGTTAGGGAATACTAACCCTAAATACATAAATATTAAACCTAATAAAGCCCATAATCAAAGGCCTGATCCGATTCTAATCATAAGCCTGATATCAAGGGTTTGATCCGGCTCTATTACCCCCCTCAGGTTAGAAGTGTGTAGATTAAGAACACCCAACTTGCTGAGAAAATCTTTGAACTCTTTCTGTCCCAAAACTGTGGTGAAGATATCAGCTAGCTACTACCTCCCTATATGTATAAAAGGAATAAAAAACCTACTGTAATCACTAATCATTTTCCAAATCTTTTTTTTTTTAATTTTTTCATGTGACCTCTATGTATAAAAGGAATAAAAAAACTATGGTATTCAAGAAGAAAAAAGGAAAAAGGCCTAGAAAGTCCAGGAAAGATGGGCCCAATTTTGGGTTGTAACGCATTGACAACTACCGTGGACAAGTACACGTGAATAGCATTTCCTTCCATGCGTATAAAACCAAATTATTTTCCTCAAAATTATTCTTAGCTTATTACTTTCTTACACTTCCAAACATTTTAAAAGACATAAATCAATAATGACCAATAGAATTATGTGTTTTACTTTCATTTTTCAAATTAATAGATTTGGATCTATCAACAGAGAAAAGTACATGGCGGATAATTGAAAAATACGTATTCCAGATATAACCAAAAAAAAAACTTAGAGAGAGAAAAAGATATACTATATTCAGAGAGAGAAATAATGGCTGTAATGATGATAGTGAAGCTGGCATTTTCTGCAAGTTTAATAAGTATTTTATTCTTGAGATAATTAGATGAGAGACAAAGATTTTGGGTGAAATAAAATATTCGGTAAAACGCTGTCAGGCCTAAAACAACGAAAATAATTAGTCCACTATTTGTCTTTTTTTGCCCCTACGCGCTTCTGACTTTTGATCCAAAAATTAGCACATTACATGAGACTTTGTAACCAATTAAGTCGTTATCGAGGCAATAAAGTTGCCGTCTGACTATTGGTTTCCATTTCATTATCCCGCATTTTCTCTCTAAAAAGCCTAAGACAACTCCCTCTCCATTCTATAATCCAGCGGTTCTGTTCTTCGTCGTGTGAGGCGACGCCGTAGTTGTTACTGTTTAATCGCCGACAGTGAGGGGTGTCGCCAATTTGAATGGTAAGCCGGCGATTTCATGCAAGGTATGGATACATATCTAAACGAAGATGTGGAGGACCAAGTAGATCTATGAAGAGAAAGTAGAGATCTATAAAAATATGTAAAACTTTATCAGATTTTAAATCTACAAAGTAAAAATGATAACATGCAAGGTACGAATACAGATCTAAACGAAAATGTGGAGAACCAAGTAGATCTATGAAGAGAAAGTAGAGATCTATAAAAATATGTGAATTACTAAGTAGATATATGAATATAAAGTAGAGATCTATAAAAATATGTAAAAAATGAATCAATATACGCATAAGAATAGAGATCTAAGTAGATCGCATGTGGGAAGACGAAGAATCATAACCGAAAAGACTATGAAAAAGTTTGAATACATAAACAATGGAGAAAAACACCCATAGAAAAAAAAGACTATGAAAAAGTTTATTAATTAGTCGTCAGAGTGTTCTTTCGTTGGTTCGTAGAGGCAAAAAAGCCCGTTCTACGCCCAGGTTGAGGAGAACGGCTGGTTATTTCGTAATAAGTAACAATCCCGAACCTATTTTTAACGCATGTTTTATCGTTGTTTTGGACCTCCATCACTAATGTCTCTCAGCTAATTTTTTACCCAAATTTTACTTCTGCGCCAATTCACTCTTTATTCTTTTTCTATAATAATTTCCTATACAAGTAAAATATGGTAATTGCCCGAAAATTTTCTTAGTTTTCGAGTTATGATGGATTCTTGTAGTTAAAGCATAACATTTGGTCGAACAAAAGCATATCAATTTTGGACCATCATGAATCATGATATATAAACTATAGATTACTATTTATAGTGTTTACTTACTGACATCATTTATGTACGTAGCATAAAAGATAAAAGCATTTAAGATTTGGAAAATGAAAACCTCATGCTTGTCTCGTATAGTCCATTTACTTTTTTCTTATAGTTGATGTATAATTCTAAAAAAATCAATGCACTCGCCAGTCGCCAATATTTTAACACCAGTTCTATGTTCGGAAATCATGATTTTATTAAAACTGTAACAAAACAAGAATAAAGCATTTATATTTTTATATAAGTCGTGCTTGCATTTATGAATATTCGATGGACCCATATCAATGCTTAAGTTTATTTATTGAGTTATGAGGAATGAGTTTAATAAACTATCATGGATAATCAACGGATTACAAAGACTTTGGAGTCTTAAACTATAGAAGGGTTTTTGGTAAAACTAAAAAAAAAAAAAAAAATTTCTTAATAAAATTTTTTTATAAAAAAAATTGGGTCCTTTTTTTCACTAAATTTTGTAAATATGGCATTGGACCCATGGCAAATGCATATGTTGCCATGGGGTAGAAACGACTTGCTGATTGGTAACAGCTGTACATTTACATTTTTAACTGTAGACATATGATTCTAGGTTTATTTGCGGTGACTCTAGATTTTATTATTGTATTATTTTGTCTATAAAATTTAAAATTTTGGAAAACTGAAAATTGTGTGCTTTAGAAAAAAATGTTTTCTACAGCAAAATATATATATATATATATATATATATTTTGACAATGAGTATAAAAAGGAAAACCAAAACTTTTAAAGCTTGATTGGATCCATTTTAAAGCTTTAGAAAAAAATTTGCTTCGTAAAGATTGTAAAACACTTGCCAATCAAACCATTTATTGTCTTACGTTAACAATATTTCAGGTAATCCAAACAGAAGTAAATTTGTAAGAAATAAAATATAATCCAAGTTTGTGAAGAGATAGATGGTCGAATAAGGAAAAATAAAAGTTATGCAAATAGTAAGTTGAAAACTCTGAAAAGGGGTTAGTAACAAGAATAAACACTTCACATTGGGGCTATCCGTAGAAGCCTGAAGATTATTTTAAGGATTTCGGATATTAGTTTGGATATTAGTTTGAGATTTCTCGATTTAGAAAAAAAATATAAGAATAAGCACAATGGCCGACTTCCTAGCTTGTTTAAAAACGAATAATTTTGTATGTGACTGAATTTATAAGTCGAAAAATAGTTATTAAGGAAAACATAATATTTTGTTGATTGTAAATCAAAACATGTATTGTATATTTCTGTTTTTAGTTTAGATAAACAATTCGATCATGATGGTTTTTGACGAATTAATATATTTTTTAACGTCAAATTTTATTTTATTAATTTGAAACAGAGATTATATAATTATTTTTCATACATACATACATAACCGAAAAATGATTAATGTTTATGAAGAATATTAAAAACCAAATGAGTTAATAGATCCTAAAAATATTTAGAGTTAATTTCTTTGTTCATCATCTTCTTCCTCAATATGACATGATTGTCTTGTTTGGCTATCTTCTTGTTTAACAAATTAACATTTAATTTGTTAAAACAAAAATTAATTTTTATTTTTTAAGATTAACAATAACATTAGAATCATTTAAACTGTTTACTTTATTTAAAACTTTCAAGGTCGTGCATTTTTTCTGGACATGTCAGAGTCTTATAGTTTGACTTTAGAATTTTAATTAATAGTTGACAAAAAAAAAGCAAAAAATTTAAACAATATTTGATAATTGATTCTCGAACATTGAATATCCCACACATTCACTAAATATTTAGAGTTAATAGATCCTAAAAATAAAGTATTAGATATAATCCAACAAAAATAATATAAAAGTGGAAAATTTCATACCAAATTATCGTCAAACACCTATTGTACATTGAATTTTTTAAAAGATATGTGAACTAACAAAATTATTAATATATGTTATTGTTTTTTTTTTGGGCAACGTTGTGGGATGTCAATTTATGCCGACTCAATTATGGTTAGGTTTTTATTTTCTGGTTTAAATTTGGTAATAATTCTGAGAGTGAAAGGAGTCTCCTTTTTGTCTCTTTCTGTCTCCGTTTTGAGTTTTTATCAAAACATTTTACTTTGCCGATTTGCTCTCTCTTCTCTTCTCTCTCTCTGAAATCTCTTTCCTTGATTTTTCTTGGAGACAACGGATCCAAAATCGACGACACTCTCAAAACTAAATCCATGGAGATTTTTCAGATTCCGATTCAGTTTCTCCTTCTTTAACAAATCTCATCAGGTAAAAAGTTTCACTTTTTCTTTCTGGGTTTCTTCTTCTCTTACTGTATCCGTCATTGTCTTAGTCAAATTTCGTCTCTGTACGATTCTTAGATTCGCCCACCAAGTGTTTGTTGAAATTCCCGAGAGAGAGTGGAATTAAAGATGAAGGATTTTCCTTCTTGCTTTGGTGAAAATGGTGTTCAAGTAGCGGATTCATCGTCTTCTAACTCCGGGAAAAATGCTCAGAATTTGGTTACTTGTATCTACCAGTGTCGAATTCGTGGAAGAAATTGTTTGATCACTGTGACATGGACTAAGAATTTGATGGGTCAAAGTGTAACCGTTGGTGTTGATGATTCTTGTAACCAAAGTTTGTGTAAATTCGAGATTAAGCCGTGGTTGTTCACTAAACGGAAAGGGTCTAAGAGTTTAGAGGCGTATTCGTGTAATATCGATGTTTTTTGGGATCTTTCGTCTGCGAAATTTGGATCAGGTCCTGAAGCTTTGGGAGGATTCTATGTTGGTGTTGTTGTAGACAAAGAAATGGTTTTGCTTCTTGGTGATATGAAGAAAGAAGCTTTTAAGAAGACGAATGCTTCGCCTTCGTCTTTAGGTGCTGTGTTTATTGCTAAGAAAGAGCATGTTTTTGGTAAGAGAGTGTTTGCAACGAAAGCTCAGCTTTGTGCGGATGGGAAAATTCATGATCTATTGATTGAGTGTGACACGAGTGTCACTGATCCTTGTCTTGTTGTTCGTGTGGATGGGAAGACGTTGTTGCAGGTGAAGCGGCTTAAGTGGAAGTTTCGTGGCAACGATACGATAATTGTTAATAGAATGGCTGTGGAAGTTCTATGGGATGTTCATAGTTGGCTCTTTGGGTTGCCTCCAGCGGGTAACGCCGTGTTCATGTTCAGGACTTGTCAATCTACTGAGAAGAGCTTGTCTTTCTCAGAGGACATGACAACAACAAACTCCAAGTCTCAAAGTTTTGGTTTTTCGTTGATTCTGTACGCGTGGAAGAACGAGTAGACAAAAAAAAGAGAGTTTCTGGGTGCTAACAAAAACCTTAAAAGAGTTTGTTGATTCCTTATCGACATTTTTTCTTTATAGCATGATTAATGAGTTGATTCATAATTGGTTTCTGCAATATATATTTCCTTACACAATGCTGGATCCAGTTTGGTCTTGACGAATGCGATCTCTGTATACATCTGTTATTTATGTCCTAGAACTTTGTTTCCTTCTTCAGGTGGATAGTGCGAATACATATATGCCTCGTTCGTTCGCAGTCTTTCTACCTTGTTAAACTGCTCTCTGATCTTGTAGCTGGTGAATGTTTAGATGCTTAGCAAACTATTGATTACCTTCTTCTTTCTTATAACAGATTGCTCATAAAGATTGTTTATAGAACCTTATAGAGATCGCAGGATTTGTACATGATGATTCCTAAATTGCGAATCAGTAAGTCGGATGTTTCTTAGCTTTCACATTCTGATTCTTCGGACTTTACTTTGGCTACTTGTTTAGTCACACAAGACCGCTGCAGTTTTTAAAATTGCAAAAGAAAAATGTTATTGTGTCAGTTTTTCCCACAAATGCATTTGATCATAAGATTTGTCTAAAGCCATAGCTTTTTAAAATGTGAATTGCGATTAGTGGCAATATTACTGGAAAACGCTTTAAAATTGTCTCTATCTGAGAGATTCTATTAATAACCAACTTTCGAAAAAATTTGAATTGTCAAGTCACGGAAACTTTCTGTAGAGAGCAGACAGCTTTATACTAGGGCTGGGCATTCGGGTATGCGGATCGGGTTCGGGTAAAACCCAATCGGGTACGGGTCTTTCGGATAGAGGAGTTTAGGACCCAATAGGGTAAATCTAAAATATCGGTTCGGTTTCGGTTCGGGTCCAATCGGGTTCGGGTCGGTTCGGATTTAGATTTTCAGAACCGCTAAATACCTGAAAAAATCGGGTACCCTTCGGGTTCGGGTATTTTACACCCGATTATACCCAAATACCCAAAAATTTACCCAAATACCCGAAAATTTTATCCTAATATCCAAATTTTACCCGAAATTTTACCCTAATATCCTAATTTTACCCAACATTTTATCCGAATAACCGGAATTTTATCCAAATATTCCAAAAATTTACAAGTATCTCGCATATAAATATATTTAGTCTTAAATATTTAAATATAAGTATATTTAGTTTTTGGTCATTATTCTCGGATATTTGGATATAAATGTATTTAGCTTGAATATTAGATATATATAAAGTTTTTATATGTATAAGTATATATAATTTCGGGTAATCGGATACTCGTTCGGGTATCGGGTTCGGATCGGGTTTTACCCTATACCCACGGGTACGCCGTTACAAGACCCAATAGGATAAATAGCTAATACCCGTACCCGCCCCGAACCGGTTTTTTTGGGTCGGTTTCGGTTCGGATACTCGAGTACGGTTTTTTTGCCCAGGCCTACTTTATACTGTATAGTTTATACAGTAAAAAATTCAAACTTCACGCTGTTTAACTGAGAATCTCTGCAACTACATGCCGTTTGATGCCTCTGTCTTTTCTGGTCGGAAAGTACACATGAGAAGACTCCAAGTTCAAAGTGAGGAAGAGTGTCTTTCTTCTTTCTATTACTGGCATACTGCAACATTCTTTTGTGACTTCATCACTCACATGTTTGCTTCGTTTCAGTTTCTTGTAATAATAATAAAACATACCACACATTACCACGTCATCTCCAACAAAACACAAACTTTTTTTACCCGGCCCATTTGACTTTCACCGTAGCCAAACTATACGGGCTTAAGACCCATTTTTAGAAACAACAAAAAGTTAAAAAAAAAAATCAATGAGTATTTAACTTCTTGTTCACTACTCAGCCACTTTAGGGTTTTGAATATTTTGATCGCAGTTTCTGTCTCCTTTGATTTCTTTCTTTGAAATTTTTGTTATATCTTTTTGATCATTATTAGCTCTTCGTGGTGTTTGTGTCCTTTACTATTTATACGACAACCGACTTTCTACCAACTTCCTAACCTCTATGACTTCTGAATTCGCAAGTCCATCGTTTTTGTCACTTCCTCATGAAATCGTCCTAAACTGTTTAGCCCGCATATCGAGATCGTACTATCCGAAACTCTCCCTAGTCTGCAAGACATTTCGCACTCTCCTCATATCTAAAGAGCTCACCGTGGCGCGAGTGCACCTTAAAACCCACGAAACCTTTTTTCATGTCTGCTTACAGTTACCTGATAGACCTAATCCTTCAATGTTCACCCTCTGGATAAAACCTGGTCAAATCTTAACCAACCAACTTGAGAAGAACGAGAGGTCTACCGGAGATACTCGGTTGGTACAAATACCTTCTTCATATTATTCTAAAGTACCACCTTATGTCATTACTGTTGGTTCCGAATCGTACGGACTCAGCCACTGCAATGATCCGTCCTCCATCATGTGGGTTCGTAAGAAGGGGACTTTTTGTTGGCGTAAAGCCCCAAACATGACTGTAGCTCGAGCCAAAGCCCTTGCGTGCGTCCTCAGTGGGAAAATATATGTCATGGGAGGTTGCAGGGCTGATGAACCCGTGAATTGGTGTGAGGTTTTCGACATAAAGTCTCAAACTTGGGAACCTTTACCTGACCCTGGCTCTGAGCTCCGTTTTTCTTCAATTAGAAAATTAGAGGTGTTCAAAGAAAAGCTTTACGTTAGAAGCAATGAGGAGAAAGACTCTGTTTATGATCCAAAAGAAGGTAAATCGGATGTTTTAGAAAAACCACATGTGAGATGTACAATAATAGAGAATGTTGTGTATTGTTATAATAAACAGAGCTGCTGGTGGTATGACACAAATCGCAAAGAATGTAGACTGGTCAGAGGTTTAGATATGTTGAACCTGAATCTTGGTTGTGGAATGATTGAAATAGCTAACTATGGTGAGAAACTCTTAATCTTATGGGACAAGTTTGTTCATCGTGGTACTTGTCAAGACAAAGATATTTGGTGTGCGGTGATTGCGCTTGAAAAACGTGATGGTAGTGATGAAGTTTGGGGAAACATTGAGTGGGCTGATATTGTGATGACGGTTTCTAGCTCATACGTTTTCGTGAATAGTCTAGTATATGGTAGTTGATCAAATCTAATCATGTTTTTGATTTGATTCTCAAAGGCTTTTTTCTTCTTTATTCTTTAGTGTATTGTTGCTTTTATACTTAAAACAAATATTGGCGCTCGGGCTTGAACTCCCATATATTCAAAAAATAAAAAAATATTGGAAACATCACGAGAAACATTGAGTGGGCTAATATTGTACTGACGGTTCCTAGCTCATATGTTTCCTGAATAGTCTACTAAATTTAACTGTGTTTTTGTTTTGACCATTGCCATTTGCCAATGCCTTATTTTTTGTTTGTATTCTGTAGTGTATTTTTGGTTAAATTAAATTGTTGGCAACATCACATCCAACTTCAAAATAACCAAGTTTTAGATCGACATGTATTCTAGTGGTAAAAAGATTGTTTATAGAGACATTAGAGACGCGGGATTTGTATATGATGTGAATCAGTAAGTCAGATGTTTGATAGCTTTCATATTCTAATTTTTTGTCTTACTTTGGTCTGTTTCTTTAGTCACACAAAACCCACATAAGTTTTTTTTGTTAAAAGTTAATATTGGAGAGAGACTCTATGTACAATGTTCAGATAAACCCATAAGTTCTTTAAACACTACCAAAGATAAATGCTATTGTGTGAGTTTTGAGATCTGAAGTTACATAGAAATGATCATAAAATTGTCAAACATACCCTTTTTTTTTTTTTTTAATTCATTTATAGCTTTGTCTTAAGAAAAGCTCTTTTCTATATTTGTTATTTTAAAAAGATTTCGTACTAATTTATAATTACATGTATAAGATGTAACCTTGAGAAAAGAAAAATATGATGTAACATTGAGAAAATGTGATTACTGGAAAAAGTCTATAAGATATGAGAGATTCTATTAATTACAACTTTCAAAAGATTTTGATTAGCAAGTTCAGGCCCAGTAAGTTCATGATATATAATATTTGGCGTAAAGCATTTATATTATGTCATTTTGAAAAGTTTCAATAGTATAGTGGCTAAACTCATTTAAGATATATTAGTTAACTTTCAAAAGATTGTGATTGTCAAGTCCAGGCCTGGCTCATGTACATTTTGAAAAGTTTCAATAGTCTAGTGGCTAAACCCCCTTAAGATATATTAACTCTCTCCCAGTTGAGTCTCCATGATTGATATTTTGTTATTTTTCATTGTGTTATTAATTTTTCTTTTCTCTTTTATTTTCAAAGCTATATTTTAAAAATTATGTTTTAGGCCACATAAATTATTGGACCGGCCTGGTCAAGTCACAAAAACTTTGTGTAGAGAGCAGATAGCTTTATACACTATGTGAAAAATTTTAATTGAGAATCTCTCCAACATGCTTACCGTCTTTATTGGTCATGAGAAGTTCGTTCATGAGAAGACTCAAAGTGAGAAAGAGCCTCTTGTCTTTTTTTTTCCTATTACTGCATGCAACATTCTTTTTTGAGATCACTGATCACCACATGTTTGCTTTTCTGTTTTTGTGATAAAAATCAATGTACAAACCAAAGGAGATGGCTAACACATCATTGTTAGATCATCATCCACATTTTCACACAGGATAAACTTCTACCACCATCAACATAATTCTCCTGAACAAACAGAGATGACTATTTATAGTAAAACCTTTGATAAGTAATTATGTTACTAGTCGTAACCGCCTCTAGCGTCTTCTTTGAATTGAATCTCTTCTTCATCTATGAGTTTCACTCTTTTCATGTTACTTGTTGATCTTCTTAGAGCTGACGTGGTGGGTATACATTGATGAGCTTTTCATTGGGTCCTCACCCAAATACAAGTATTTTTTGTTTCACTTGCGGTCCACATTTAGGGTCCCTTTAGTCAAAATAACATTTAGGGTCTGACTGGTGTCAATTGAGAAGAAAAAAAAAATTAGAAGAATTGAGAAGAATTCTGTGGATGTCGGAATCCGCAATACTAATTTTTTAATATCAGTGGGGTCTCTAACCTTGTTTAGTCGAATACAAATCGAAAGAGTATAATCAAAAGTGCAAAGTGTGTTTTATTTCTCAGATCTTTTTTTTTCGGTCCCCTTTACAATGTTTTTCTATCCCTATTTATAATCGCGTGATCGCGAATTGAAACCTTTGATCATGCCGCGAATCACGCCCCCGTTACAACATCCGTTTCGAATCTTCCCTTGTTCCTAAAGTCCACGAGATCCGCCTCTCATTCACTTCAAAAAATTCTTCCGTTACATAACAAGCCGGGCTCAAGCTTAATGGGCCCACTAGTTCTTAAATAGGCTTAATCGACGGCCCAATCTGCTCCCTTGGCCCGTTTCCTACAAACCGAATTCGGAGTGCGGGATCCGACTCCAACAAATTTTTCCTTTCTCATTTTAGTAGGAGAAAAGTTTATTCCAAACCAAAAAAATTTGCTTTGATAACAAAAAAATATGTGGATCCATAAGAAGAAAAAATTCTTCTACATTGTATACCAGTCACAACCTTAGATTCCCAATTTTTGTTAAAGTTGTACGTTTGTTTTATTCGTTAGTATTGGTCACGCGCATAAGCGAAGTTATTCTTTAAATTTTTTGTCTATTAACTTCACCTTATTTTGTTTTGGTCATTTGTGAAATCTATAGGTTCACTTATGGGCGTCAAGATTCGTTATTCTTGGTCATGAAAATTGGTTAGTTGCAAAACTTTTTCTTTAAAATTTCCGGTTCATTGTGTTTAAAATCCTTTTACATTTTGCAACTAACCAATTTTCATTGTAGTTAAATTAAAATTTAGCGAAATCTATGAGTTTTATCAAAATTGGAACAATGTAGTAAAATTAAGATGCACTTTCACAGAACTAACCAAAACCTGAATTATCATAAAATCAAACAAATATATGTTTTGGTTAGAAAAACCAAACATGAACATAACCGAACTTCACCAACCTGAACTGAACCGAGTCAAACCTAAGACATACGGTGGTCCGTGTCCCAAGTGTGGTTAGGGCTTATCTCAATGAGAAATAAATGATGAAAAGTGTGAGAGAAAGGAGAAGATGAATAAACTTCACTTTTAATTGATCATTTCTAGTTCTAAATGCTTAGTTTCTTGAGTTTAAACTATTCAATGCTTAAAATAGTGGATCTAATCAGAATTCAAATTCTCTATTACCGTTGTGATTACATCATCTTAAGATGTTTAGAAATGTGTTTTAGTTGTTCGATCTATATTATATAAGGTGACAATGACAAATGCTATATATAGCTGTTGGAGGATACTCCACTTGCTTACAAGCATCAAACATGTGTGAGATTTGGCAAATCTGTTGATAGTAAAATCATAAAGGGTACTTTAAACAAAATTTTAGTAGTTTCATTATCAAGATATAGTATGTTGATTTCGAACCAAAGACATTCAGAGAAGTCTCGTATAAGCTACTACATTACAACCAAAGACAGAGTGTGATAAATGGGCCTAATTGATAAATGGGTAAATTGCATGGCAGGGCATAAGACCAAGTTTTATTTTCATGTTTTGGCAAAGTGAGAATTGGCTTTCAAGTTTTGACAATTTAGCCAAAATCTGACCATTTTACCCCTACCAGCGTAACGATGTACTGTTCACTGTACGGTTCAGTTAAGCGGTTCAGTTACGTACACTGTTCCGGTTAAGCAATATATTTCGTTCTTAATTGATTTCTGCGGGAGTACAGTGACAAATGGGGATTAATAACATTAAAAAACAATGAGACATCAGTATTTAATGCCCAAAAAGTTTAGACATGACTCATGTCACAATTAATGCAAAAGTCATCATTATTTTTTCTAATATTAGTTTATATGTGTGAATAGTTATAAGAGACAAACATGATCCATCAAACAAACAAATTATTCTGAACGAATGTGATTCTGCATCGGTTTGATCTTTTTGATTTACAAAATTTGGAGCCAAGACAAGCATTGATCGTGTAAGTAATGAAATTGGTTAAGAAGTTTTTTGTTTTAACACACTAGGGTCTTGATTGTGTTCTAAGATCAATATTGTTTTTATATAAAAACCCAGAATATTTTGATTTCCAATTTTTTTATTTGAAATTGCTAAATGAGGATAGATTTATGTTTATAAGTGTGTAGTTGGGAATTCATTTTGTTTCTTGAAGATATAATCATGCTTTCATTTGCATTTAATGGGGTTCTGCTGAATTTATGATGCAGGTGGGTAATGGATATTCCCGTATTTACTATGGTGGGTGAGTGGAAATGCAAAGAAGAAGAATGGAAATTTGAACCATGGGAAGACTGGTTTGGTCGTTGTGTACGTGTTAGGCAAAACATGACGTACACGGAATTTGTACGTATATTATGCGAGGTTTTCAGTTTGAAGTCCACCGAATGCAATCCAATAATTAGTTACTGGATGCCGGGAAAGATGTCAGTGATGATAGAAAGTAAACGCCCACCTGTCTACATTGACAATCAAATGAGCCTGGATACCTTCTTTTTGATTTGTGGTGGGGATCCTAGTGTCACCTTGTTTGTCTCTTTCATTACAACCGTCAAGGCACTCGGGAATACTATCCCTAGGACTAATGGTGAGAGTTACCGTGTGTGTCGGAGTGCAACGACACCAAATCCCATCGTAGCGGCTTCAAATGTAGATGGAAATAATGAGGCCGTAGATGAGCAAGACGACGTTGAAGACGATAAAACAGATGAGGATGAAGAAGAGGAGGAGGACAACGAAGATGGTGCTGGGTATGATGATGATCAGGGTGATGATGGATCTATGGGAGGAAGTACCCTCGATCCTACTATAGACGGTAGTGAAGGCAGTGGCGAAGATTACGATTACAACAAGTGGAACGATGTAATTATTGAAGAATATGGAATAGGCAATGTTGAGGAGGACGTCATTCTCACTCAACAAACGGTTCAACATCCAGGGGAATTCAGTCGTCTATTGGCAGAGTGTATGTACACAAGTCATCGTGTACGTGGGGGAGATAACTCGGTTGACCGTACACCAACGGTGACTCCAATACGTACGTGTCAACATGGTTTGTACCAATGTACGTACACAACATAATGTGTACAAGATACAGGCTGCGAAGGTAACACCGATACCAATATTAATGGTATAGACGAAGTCTCTGGGGATGATGTTATCGACCGTGGTATTGGAGCTTCCCCAAGTGGGACACTGAATGATAATCGGCTAGTTACTGCATCTGGCGGAGATAACATTTCTCATTCGGGTGACCGTACACCAACCGTGACTCCAAGACGTACGTGTCAACATGGTTTGTACTAATGTACGTACACTACAGAGTGTGTACAAGATACAGGCTGCGAAAGTAACACGGATACCAATATTAATGGTATATACGAAGTCACTATCGACCGTGGTATTGGAGCTTCCGCAAGTGGGACACTGAATGATAATCGGTTAGTTACCGCAGCTGAGGCTTACAAAGTGTATAATGACTTTTCTACATTACATGGTGGCGAGTTGGAGATTCTCGATAATGATGCTGCTCCGGTATTCGATGATTTAGCTAATTTACGAGATGATGAGACACAAGTCGAACTGAGTACGACAGGTGAGACTTTGTATGTCGGGAGTGTTTTTAAGAACAGAAAAGTCATACAACAAACAATGTCTTATCTCGCAATCAAACAATGCTTTTGCTACAAGCAACGTAGGTCATGTCCTACAAGATTGG